GCGTGGCCTCGATAGCGAGGTCGGCTCAGAACAGATGAAACCGCCTTGGATCACTCGTGTTTCATCCTCAACAATTTTCAAGCAGGGAGGCCAGTGTCCACACCCTGAAAAGAACAAAAGGCACACTGAGAAAGTGGACTCCATTCTGCTCTGGACGATGTTCTGTGTCTGTCTCTAAGTGCTGAGCACTTGTGAATCTTCAAAGGGAAAGCACACGTTCCTTGGGGATGCCAAATCAGAGAAAGCTGGGGGGCCCACCCGCTCAGGTTCACTCCTAAAGAACCAAATTTCTTCTTAGCACCACTGCTGAAAAGCCGAGAGTTAAACAGTGCCTCAGTTAAGGGAGACACCGATGAGGTAATAGACAAGTCTCTGGTATGACTCCCAGACCATCCCATTTGCTTAGAGTAGTGGCCTGGGCTTATGACAGATCCAGAAATGTCTTTGATTTTTCTCCCTCATCCATTATCTCTGTTCCAGACAAGATGAGAGAGGAAAAAGTGTTCTGCTTTAAAAAGAATCGATCTGTTTTAACAGACTGGAGGGGTAAACAGTGAATTCAGGGCCGCAGGGAATTGCACTATTCACAGAGTTACGTAGTTAGAACCGGGTGGGAGGTCTGTTAGGTGAAGTCATGAAGTTTGCCTTTTATTTCATTTTGCACCTGAATTTCAAGTTACTGGGACCATTTCACAGAGCCAGGTTACACGATTTTTACTAGCCCGAAAAAAGTGTGCTCATTGGGCAGATTTATTTAATGCCTGATTGTTACAACTTGTCCTTCTCCAGTTGACTTGGTTTGTCCAAACTCATGAGTGACCAGCTGAGTTCCATCTTTCTTGGAGTAGGAGGTTTTAATTATCTTTATTCAGCTTAATGAGCTCCATTTCAACAAAGAAAACAGTCTGTTTGGAGATGAACTCATTGCACACCTCTGTGACTTCAAGCCACACTCAAAACACAATTTGAAATGAGCTGCTACATGAAGTATCAGACGAGCTCTTGTGTCTCTCGTTCAAGGGCCTTTCCCTACCCACAGGATGATAGCGGGGTGTGTGTGTGTGTGTGATGATTAATATGTCTGATTTGAATTTTCAATTTGCACCAAGTGCCACAATGTTGTTTGTTGTTCTTTTATTTTTAAACTATTTCAAGCCATTAGATTGTTCAGTTATGACAAGAGCTTGACAGGTGACGAAGCTGAAATTGTCTACCCCAAGCATTTCATCCTTGAGCTCTTTTTGAATTACAGCCAGGCAAGGCATTTATAGAATTTGCTAGGGGGAAGAAAAAGAAAGAAAGAAAAAACAGGAAGGAAAAGAAAAGAGCAGCAGTTTAGTAGTAGGATAGGATTTTAACTGAGGGCGACATTTTTAGAAGCCTTAGACTATAGGCATATCTAAAACATGGTCAATAATCCGTTAAGAGGGCATTTGGGGACTTCAATGGGAAATCAACTTAATCTTGACTGTGGCTTATTTAGCGTGACTTTTTAAGACGACTCTAACAGTATTAGTTTTCCTCACTGCATAAACATTTCTAAAATGTAAATGAACTCATATATATCAGGGTTTTTTCACCAGGTTTGGCTATGTATATGTTTTACCTCCTGTCTCACTAATAAAATGGATTTTTGAGCTTATTAATAGAAGAGTGGAAAACAGAACTGGCTGTCTTCTTCTTAGAGTGTGATTAGTACATTTGGACTAACCATTAATTCCTAGTCATGTGAAATTTATTCATTCAGTCAATAACTTTTTGTTGCATGCTGGGTACTGGAAATATTGCAATAGACAAAGCAGACAAAGTTCTTTCCCTCCTAGAGTTTACATTCAAGTTTGGGGAAACAGACAATGAACAAATAAATTAAAAATCTAGTGTAAGAGATGGTGAGATGTTTAAAAAAAAAAAAGCAAGGAAAGTAGATGGGGCTTGAGGGGGATTTAACTAGGGTAAAAGGTGACACTTGAGTAGGGACCTGAAGGAAATGAGGGAGCAAGCCAGGTAGATATCTGGAGAAGAACTTTCCAGACAGAGGAAACAGTATGTGTAAAGGCCCTAAGGTGGGAACATGCCTGTGATGTTTGAGGTGGAATAGATCAGAAAGTATGCACTTATAAGAAAGAGAATTCCAGAGCCTCAGATGCCTTTGCAGATACCAAGGCCTGGGTAGTAACATGTCAATAGCAGTAATGACCCTGGTTCTTGGTTCATTGGTCACTGCCACCGTCTCCAAACTCCAACATATAGTTAAGTCTAACACTTTGGGATCAGGTCTCAGGCCTGCTGTGGTTCCTAGCCAGCACTGCAAAAGAATGGGAGGAAGAATCTGACAGCCATTTAACCACCAACATCCCCGTTTAATTAGCCATAAGGACTAGTGGCTTAGTTAGTTAACCTAAGGGATTGATGGAGCCGAGGCTGAGGTTCAGTCTCTCTCATAGGGAATTTACATCACACAGAATGCACACGTAAGCCGAGCCTGATCTCTCAAAGATATAAACCATTGGTCTGATGAGAAATCGTGACTAAAATCGAGCAAACAAAGCAGAAAGGTACTTTGCTTTGAAGTGAAACTAATAATTGAAAGTCTGGATTTTTTTTAAAGCTAAACTGGAGATTTATAAAAAGATTTGTCCCATTCCTTTTTTAAATATCAGGTTGTCTCCAGATTCATTACCAAAAATGAAGCATACCTGCTCTGAGAGACAATATTAAAGCACAAATTTTAAAACCAGTACATGGTAGTTCAGTAATTTTATCACTGAATACACAGAAGATAAATTAACTTGGTCTCTTTAAATTGGCTTGCTCAGCCCCAAATAAGTGAGCTCAAAATCAATTAATTATAAGACTCTTACAACAACAGCAGCAAATGACATTATCTTCTTCATGGTTACCATATCTGAAACTGTAAAAGCATTGCTCCAACCACTGTTTTCAAACCATTCTTGGTTCATACTAATAGTGAAAATGGACTTCCCTACTAACATCTCTACTCTGGTTCTGTTCAGAGTGAGTAAGAAAAAACTAAAGTGTGATTCATCTTCAGCAAACCTATTTTTCCCATCAGAAAATAAAACCATTTATTACCAAAGAGCAGATCTTTCCATTTTTTAATTTATTTATTTTTTTGTCATTGCCCTTTCTAAAAATTCTCCAGCTCTGTTGTTCTCAAATTCAATCTGACAACTTGGATGAATGAACTCTGTGTGCCAAGAGACTGACAACACAGCACACCTGCCAGTATAAATTCAACAGTTTGTCACCCAAGTACTGCTAGGTTTAATCTTCTTTTCATGGACTAGAAGCCTATTTAAAAACCAATCAAAGTACAGTATATTCTGTTTGGAATTATAAGATTTCTACCCCTCCCCATGTTACAAAACAAAATTAAAGAAGTCTTCTTTATATACAGAAAAGTGAGAGGCAGAATGCTGTACATGTCCTTACAAGCTAAAATATTTTGAAACAGGAAAATGGTGGAATTTAAGAGGCTCTCAAATTTTGTAGCACCTCATTCCTGGGTAGTGGGTTTAAATTTGTGTTACAGTAGTTTCTCTCTTCTCAGTTCATTGCCCAGTTTAATTATTATACATAGTTTATCTATATGACAATAATAATAATAGCTAACATTATATGTCAAGCATGGTACTCTGTGCCAGGGACAAGCCGAAAAATAAGACAAACTTGGGACACATCCTCATGGAAATTATAGCAGAGGGACAGACATTTGTGATCATTATCTTCATTTTATAGTTGAAGAATGAATCTTAGAAAGTCAGTGACCTGCCTGAGGCCAGCTAGCGATGGGACTTGAACCAGGTCTATCTGCCTCTGAAACCTGGACTCCTCCAACATCTGAATGAATCAAAGCACTGAACAAATAACAAGGGCAGCAGCAAAGCTGTTCTTCAGGGTCCCCAGACATACTCCAGTTACCCAAACTGGAGCCAGAAAAATATCCATGGTGTTTCCAGGGTCTGGCCTTGCAGGGTATCTTGAGAACTCTGATGCTGTCTCAAAAGCATCAAATACTTTTCTGTATCAGTGGACCTCCAGGGTCAACAGACAACTGAACCACAGAGTTTTGGAGCTCTGGGCCCTAAAGCACAAAAAGTCCCATAAAGGAGCTCTCACCACGGCTCCTTCTGCCTGCCATCTTCTGGAAAACTTCCACCAGATGCTGGTCATCCCCTCATTACATGGCAAGAATCGCATCATTCCGTTCTATTCCCCCTCCTCCAGAAGTACCCATCTCCCATATGCTAGTGAATACTAACAATCCCCTTTCGCGATATCATCACTTCTTCTGTGCACGGACTCTCAGCATCCCACTTGAGATCTCCATGCAGACAATAAAGAAACCAACTGTGCAAACCTGAAATACATGGCATGGAAAAGGCCCATCTATGATTGAACAGGAATGAGCTGCTGTATAAATAGCCCTTCATAGGATTCAAATAATTTTGACCTCAAGTGACCTGATTTCCTGACACATTCTTCCTTTGTGCAGGAGGACTACTTTATTCTTTTGAAATCATATCGTGAAGACTACATTGAATTCCCAACATGGGGAGCAAGGAAAGCAAGTTGACCTCCCTTGGTTTGAAGGAATTCCATTGGTCAAAATGACCAAATAGGATCAGAATTCACCGTCAAAAAACATGCCCACATCTTTCCAAACTAAACAGGAACTAAGTGGCTCATTTCATGAGTGAGAGAGTGTTTTAATGGTTTTTAAAATGTTTATGTCTCACTACCCCCTCCCCCCACTCTAACTTATCCCCACCCTAAACCCCCATTTAACCAAAGGGAATGATTTTCTAGCCTTTCTTCTCCATCTAAAAAGTCTTTCGATACCACACTTCACTTGGCCACAATGTGCAGGTGAATTAGAAAGGAGTGGAATTGGAAGCAGGCTTCAAGGCTAACAGAATCCACTCGATTTTTGGTCTCCATCCTAACCTCTCAATCAAGTCAATAAATAATAAGTTTGAATTTGGGCCATAGCACTACAAAATATAGCCTGTCACACTAATATTCTTTGACTTCATTTCAGAGTCTCAAAATGATGTTATTCAGTCTAGTTGTTCAAGAAGAGTTGGCACTGGTGGCCCAACAGAGGCCCAAGGTGGCTGGCTGAAGACGAGGCAGTCCTTTCCTATCCAGAGCAGTGGTGTTGAGCAGGTGACAAGGTGCCAGCCGACTTGCATCTGGATAGGCGTCCGTGTCAGGAGCGGTAGGCTGCAAAGTCCCGCGCTGGCGCGTAGGGCTGGTAGTGCCTCCGGGTGGGCCCTGGCCTGCGGGGGGTCATGTTCATGTAGTCACTCTGAAGCATCCTGTTTCTCTTACTCTTCAACTGCAGAAAAGAGAAGTGTCACTGTGAAGGGGGCCAGGGACATGGAGGGAGATGACTGGGGAGGAGTTCTAAGACTGGGGACAACTGCACAGGAGTTCTAAGATTTGGGGGCAACTATTCAGAACATGGACTGTCAAAAGAAGCTCAACAAGCCAGAATTCACTGAGCACATTGCACTTAGATCATGACTAATTAAACCGAACTACTTTTGACTCTTCAAAATTAACTTGAAAAGTCTGAATCAAAGAAAATATTTTCGAGAAATGCACCCGTGTTACTCTCAATGCAGCCATTTGACCTGAATTCCAAAAGCATATCTAATTAACATATCCACTGCAGATGTGTAAATACTCTTGAAGGCTCTTCCTCCTTTGGAAAGGTTAAGTATCCCCAGTGCCACCTTCTTACATTAGTCATTTGCTTAAGAAGCCATTTTTCCATAATTAACAAAAGAGGACCTTCAGCCCTCCAGAGTCTGGAATAGTCACAAATTCATAGCAGTGGAGACCAAATTAATTAGGTATTACAGTTCTAGACAACTAGGTAAATTTTTATTCCCTTATTTGTGAGTACATTTCCATAAACACAGTAGCATCACTCATCTCCATTTCTCAGATTCAGCTCCATCTGGATGAATGTCTACCATCATTTCTGGATCAATGTGATGGTAAAACTTACATGTTTGATGAAAGACCCACAAACATTTTAAAAATAGAAAGTCCTCCAGATGTCTGGACTCAGAATTATCTATAATGAGAAAAAAATCTGTTTCTTGGACATAGAGCTGATGCATAAGTAAATATGTTGGATATGAATGCCCTGAACACCTGAACAAATAAGTAAATAATGACTGACCTTATTTCCGTGCACTCCTACCCAAGCCCTTCACACCTTCTTTGTCAAAGGGGCATGAGTAAGTGTTATAGAAAGGTTAGAAAAATACTGACCTGCACATCACTAAATACAACTAACACGTTTTCAGGCCTCATCTTTTGAACTCTCAGCAGCATTCTCTATTATCAATTACCCTCTCCTTTCTGAAACACTTCTACTTTACCTTCTGTGAGATGGTACCCGTTTTCATCCTACCTCTCTGGCCACTCCCTCCCTGCCTTCTTTGTAAGCTCATCCTTCTCTAAGTAGCCATTCAGTGTCAGAGTTCCTCGTGATGTGGTCCTAGGCTTTTTCCCCTACTCACACCGTCGCATCTCCCTAGGCAGACTCACCAACACCCACAGCTTCGATTGCCACCTATTTTACCCGAATTTATGTCTCTGGACTAGACCACAAAGGCACTTTAAACTCGATATGTCCAAAAAGAACTCAAGATCTTTCCCCAAAGTCTCACCCCCTCCAGCGTTTCTCCTAAGCCTCCTCCTTGACACCTCCAGTTCCCTTGTCCTCTGCCCCAGGGGATATCTGACAATGTCTGAAGACATTCTGAGTTGTTAGAACCAGGAGGGATGCTCCTGGCACCTAGTGAGTAGAGGCCACAGACGCTGCTAAGTATCCCACAGGGCACAGGGCAGCCCCTGACAACAAAATATTATCCAGCCCAAAATGTCAGTAGTGCCAAGACTGAGAAATCCTGATCTGAAGAGTCTGATCATGAAAAAAAGGGAATGAAAAGGAAGCCATGGATACAAAATATATCACCATATTAGAATGACTATTGTTAGACAGCTTGACTCCTCCTTCTTGCTCATACTCGAAGGTGACCAGTGATTTGAGCCTGTGTGACCAAGAGGATGGTGTTCCATTCATAGATGTAAGGTAAGATGATAGGAGAAGTGGGATTTGAAAGAGGCTATGAATTCAGCTTTGGTCATTTGGGATTTGAGACAATGGATGTGTCATGGAGCTGAAAGTAAGAAGAGGACAGCATAAAACAGACATAATTGGGGAAGTCATTTAGAGAGAGGTAGCTATGGAAACCAAGCGGGTAAGGGTAGTTGCCCTTCAAACATCTTGGTTCTACATCCTTTCTACAAATGAAAGGCTAGAGGTCTCTTGGGCATAGGGTTATGGCAGGGCAGGAGTAAGGCAAGGAATTGTCTGCCCCCAAATAAATGTGAAAGGCTGCTCAGCTGATACCCTGGGAGGCATTACAGTACTTACTCAAATTCTGAGGACTTTCCTTGTCAGACTCCCCAGTGACTGTCTTTGCCTCTGGACACCCAAATAAAACTAGGGCTAGAAGAGGGGCCCCCATAATGAAGATATCTTGACTCTGAGGTTCTCTGGGTTGCACCAAGATTATGAAAGATCTGTTGCACTAAGCTCTCATACTTATTCTCACGCTGTTATCAGATAACAGATTTAGTCATTATCACCCTAACTGTAAACACAGCAGTGGGATTGAAATGACACATGCATGGCTGGGAACAGTATACAGAACCCACAGTGTCCATGTGCACCTAGCATATGCACTTACGTGTGCAGAGCACTCACCTTATGTCTGTGTGACTAAGTCATTTAGCCCTTCGCCATTCACTGTCTGCTAAAGATGTGTGATTCCAGGACCACTCCTCCCTTTTCTGTCCCTCCACCCTCGTCCTTACCCACTTGTTTCTTGGAAGCAGCAGCAAGACATAGGCACTTTACTCAAAGCCATGGCCCTCAAAAATACACTGGATTTAAAGGCAGATACTAGCATGCACACAATTTCTATATTCCCCACAGTGTGACTTAGAGTGGAGAAAACTGTGTTTTTTCAAAGGCTCCATTAGACTAAGAAAGAGAACAGGTTTACCAGCTCAGCGAAGTGAATGGAGGGTTGAGTGAGAGTAACAGGTGCTGGTCTGTGGCCACCTGGCAGAGGGGAGCTCTTTATTTATTCAAATGTCAGTAACAGGTCAAGAACTAAGATGGAATCTGCAGCTGCTCCCAGAAGCCCACTCAGCCTAGAACTGCCTACAAGAGCACGTCACAAGCCCTCAGGAAGTTCCGGAAAACAGCAGCTTACACCAAGGCACAGTGCAGACCAGCCAAAAATATGATCCCAGAAAAGCACCCAGAAAATGGCTAAACTCTAGTGGTCCCTAGTGGCCGGGCTACCTAGCTAGCAAGGTGCTGGTAGCTTAAACAGTAACAGCATCGGGAAAAGATGAGCCCAGGTTAAAAATGCTGTGTTAGTCTATGAAATATACGTATATATTTATTTCACACCCTTTTGGCCAGAGAGTACAAAGACCTGTGCTTGAGATGCAAATAAAGGGTATTTCTTATTGGGTGACCTAATTAACCACAAGAAGCCACAGAAGACAAAGTACGCCAAGCACTGGGACTTCCAATTTTCAGGGAGCCTGTGAGACAGAGTAAGACCAAAATAAGTTTTCCCGAGACAAAGCAAAATGAGCATCACTAGGAATTAGCCATGCTGCCAAAGAAAAACATACAGCATTTATGATGTTTCCAAATTGAAAATAAACTTTAAAAAGAAAAACTCATTGAAAATGAGAAGCTACTTTGATCCCTTTGGGTAATTCAAGCCACTTAGCAGATTATAGCCTGGTTATAGTAACTGATATCCTAGGGTATATTTACAGTAAGTTTTAAATGGTGAGCAGTACCCTTCTGGCCACTGAAAGCTAAAACAGTTCCCAAAACTACTTTCCGCCAAGCTAGTAAAGTACGTTGACCCAGGTCAGTGTAATATTGGGGAGCACCTGTCCTGGAAATGTACCCAAAAGGGCACTCCACCTGGCTTTTAAATTAAGGAGCTGAGATTCCCAAGGGGATCAAGATAAAAAGAAGAACTGAGATTTTAAATTCTAATATTATTGGAAAACTTTCCAGAGGCTCAAAATTGGATGGTCACTTGGACGAAGACACCAAGATCCAAAAAGATGAAGAGACTCAACCAACATCAGAGGAAGAACTTAGGCGACATTGCACTACATAAAAGGCCCCCATCAGGGCTGGGCAGCTTGCAGAAGGCAAGGCAGGCAAATTCTCAAGATGTATCTGATATAATGGATTTCCAGGAACAAGCACCTGACAAACGTGGTTACAGAGTTTGTTGGAGATAACTTTAGGCAACAGGTAGCCTGCCAAATGTCCATCTGCCCTGTAGAGTCTTCCAAAATGGGAAACGCATGTGGGGAACAAGCAAGAGGAAAATTTGGGAAATAGGCCAACAAGAGTTTAAAAGGATGCCAAGCTGAATCTATCACTGGCATGACTGTGAAGCCAGGGCTGCCCTCCTCCTCCACTCCCACCCTGTCCAGCACCAAGGCTATAGCAAATAGGATGGCTTCAACACGGCACAGCTTCCAGAAATCACCGATCCATGTATAAATTAGTTAAATGTACAGAGTACGCCTTAAAGATGAGTATTATACTTCAGGCATGTTCATTTCAGTCCTTACTTTGGCCTCTATGGGGTTACCCATTCATAAGCGTTCTTTAAGCACTTAACTAAATAAATGCACATAATACCAGACAGATGGTGAATATCAAGAGAAATGGTCCTGGGGTGGGGGATATAACATGAGGGAGGTCCTGGGTTCAATCCCCTGTACTGCCATTAAGAACATTAAAAAGTAAATAAAAATAAAGATTAAAAGAATTATTTTTTAAAAAATAGAAATAGTCCTTTATCCTTGAGGAGCATATATTTCTTGTTGAGGAAATGATTCATACATGCATCTAACTGCTAGGAAAATATTCAAAGACAATATGGAGTCAATGGAAGTATTCTGTACCACACTGTGTACGTGAGAACAGGAAGTTTCTGAGTAAGTGAAAGGTCCTTGATCAGGAGGTCCCCTCCTCGTGGTACATATGGTTACAATATGTGTTCAACTGAGGCCAAAACTTCAACGTTGAAAAAGGTAGAGAAAAATACACCAGGTTTACTGCATGAACGTTTGCAAAAGTCCGTAAACTCCAATTCAGTGGTAAGAGCTCAGAAAAGTCTAACTCCCATTATAGTTTCATAATGACAGCACCGTACTTGGCCTCACAAAATTCAACTGCTTCAGAAGAGATAAAAATATGACTCAGATAAACAGACCTAGTTTCTTTGCTAGGTTTGAATGCATAATTTCAGTAGTCAAATTTCTCATGATTTTTGACCCTGAACCAAAGTTGTCATTGGCTTCAGTTGCTTAGATTCCCAAGTTGTTTAGATTTTCACACATATGTATATATTATTTTATATGTCATAATGACATTGCAAAATGGGGACAAGAAAGGTCATTTTCTTCCCTAATTTATCCTCCACCTCAATTTACCTGTTTTAGCTTCTTACTCTGCCTGGCCAACCAAACAGTGCCTTCTAGAACCTAGAACTCACATCAGATTTTTATCTCAGATAAAGTTAGATAGGCTAAAAGAGAACCCAGCAGGGACAAATCTAGCAGGGACAACAAAAATAATCCACAATAGGCAAAATTCTTGAATATATCCAGATTGCATATGCAATAGGAGAGTTACATGAAAGCAGTGCAGCTTCCCTTACCCAGCAGTTACAAAGAGCCACTGATGCCAGCAAGCTGTAGAAAGCTAGGATGCTGGCTACCACCACCAGTGCCCAAAATGGCTTAGAAGACTCAGGAGACCAGGGAGCTGGACAAAGATGTTTCTCTGAAAAATAGAACAGAGTAGATTAAATGATATGGGAATGGCACTTGAGTACATTTCCTTCCTTCTTTCTAGGGAAGAACTGGAGAGGAACTGATATATGCAAAATATCACTAGTTTAAAATGTACAGACTTCCTCATTGGTGTATTCTCTTTGGGCATTATCCAACCCCACCACTGATCATGACCTAGTCTTTACGACTGCAGTTGAAAACCACTACTGGAGAGAGGACGCTGGTTGAGCTATACATTACCTTTCACGTGGATAATGGTCCCATTACTCTTCTCGTTGTCTATGTAAGGCGGAGGATACATGACCTCGATCTTGCAGAAGTAAATATCTGTTTGGTTAACGTACAAATCTCGGAGGTAGAATGTCACTGTTTCATTGCCCAGTTTCCCATTGCAGTTGAATCCCGTACTTGAGTGAAACTGAAGCTGATAGGAGTAATTTCCACTCACAACACAGACTTCCACAGCACTATCGGCTCCCTTATAAAGAGATGCCCGGAACTCCTTTGAGAAGAGATTGTAGGTGTACTTGCAGCTAAGGTTGACCTCGTTGTTGTTCACCACAAGCATGGGCGATTGCTTCACCAAAATCTTGTTTTCTGGAGGGGGAAAAAATCATCTGCTTAGAACAAGAGTATAAGGACTTTTCCCCCCTGAAATCAAGATATATTAACTAACAAAATAAACAGATCTCCAGCAAAGACTTTCTCTTGGCAGATGAAGATGCAGGAGCTCTATGAGAGATAATTATACTGAGAGTTTATATTTTGATCTTATTTTTATCCACCTTTGAAGGAAACAATGGAGCATGTTTTCACTTGGAAGGCAGAATGTAGCCTTCTATTGGCCCTGAACACCACAGCTGTGCATCTGGAATTTTGAAATCTGCACTGAGATTTCTAAGGTGTCCTAAGATGTACAATTAATCATGCTTAATTGTATTAATTTCCTAATTGAGTGGTTTACTTAGGAATATGGCTTTTAACACCTGACATAGGTAGATTTGTTATTTTAAGTTGTAAATCAGCCTTCTGTGAAGGAATTAACATGTTGTGAAACATTTTGAACTTGTTTATTGGCCATTCCAAGAGTAAGATAAAGAGGTAAGAAAAAATGTAAACCAAAGAATTTAATTTTTCTTCCATAGCAAATTCTGAGAACAGCCTCCTCAAGAAATTTGCATATTTGTCTCTTTAAATCGCAGAAGAAGGAAGAGGTCCAAGAGGCTCACAAGAGTTCTCTCGCTAGTCCATCTTCTACCTCTATGCTATCCCAGTAAACAACCGAAGACCCTGGTGATGAGCTAGTCCAGTCTCTTCACTTTTAAAGCAAAGAAGCTGAAGCAAGGCTATAAACTACCTGGGGGAGGAGAACACATCTATTCCATCTTGATTCCCACTATATCCCCGTTGGCTAACATATGATAATATATTCCCTTTTTCCTTTTCTTGTGACCGTATGAGATCTAGAAACATTAGATGATTTGTCTAATATCACTGAGCAGATTGTGAGCAAAGCTAGGACTAAGACCTAAGTAAACTACAACCACCTGAGAAATAGACCACTTAAGCACTGAGAATCAACTCTGCAACCAAGACTCTCCAAAATTTCTCAAAGCAATAAATCACTTTGTGTCTTGTCTTTGATTCAAAATTTAATACAAACAAAAGATATTTTTGCTGTCATTTGGGGGTCTACTAATAATTTTCTACCTGTTTGCATTTTTTTAAGCAAAAGTTATTCGAAACAACACCCGCACATACCCATACTGAAGAGTCAAATAGAATAGTCTACTAAAATGAAATTTATAATTTCACCTGGATCTGAATCCATGTACTCAGGTATTTTGTTTTTGAAAAAGGAGCACTGCAAAGAACTAAAGCGCTAATAGCTTTTCATCTCCTGCGCAGTTCTCAGCGCTAGCGGTACGTCAAGAAACAATGCCTGGTTCCATTCCCAGAAATTCTGATTTAACTGGTCTATGCTGGAGGGGACAGGGGTCGATTCTTCTCATTTCTTTCATAACAACTTACTGAGATATAATTTATGTACCACAGATTTCACCTTTCTTTTTTTTAAAGATCACTCTCAAAGTATACAATTCAGTGGGTTTTTATTATACTCAAAGTTGTGAATGGATCACCACTCTGTGATTTCAGAATATTTTACTATCCCCCCAAAAGAAATCCCATGCCCATTGGCAACTACTCCCCATTCCTTCTTTTCTCCAGCCCCTGGCAATCACTAATCTGTTTTCTATCTCTAGAGATTTGTCTTTTCTGGACATTTCATATAAATGGGATCATACAACATGTGGCTTTTGTGTCTAGCTTCATTCACTTAGCATAATGTTTTCAAGGTTCATCTATGCTGGTAACATGTATCAGAACTTCATTCCCTTTCATGGCCAAATGCTATCCCATTGCATGGATATACCACATTTTTTGGTTTTTCCATTCATCAGTTGCTTCCACGTTTTGGATGGTATGAATAATGCTGCTATGCACAGGGAACTATGTTCAATATCTTGTAATAACCTTTAATGAAAAAAATATGAAAATGAATATATGTATGTGTATGCATGACTGGGACATTGTGCTGTACAGCAGAAACTGACACATTATAATTGACTGTACTTCAATAAAAAAATTTTTTTAAATAATAATGCTACTATGAACATTCATGTACAAGTTTTTGTGTGGATGAATATTTTCAATTCTGTTGTGTATATATGCCAGGAGTGGAATTGCTGGGTCATTATGGTAACTCTATATTTAACTTTCTGAGGAACTGACAAACTTTTTCTAAGGCAACTGCACTATTTTACACTCCCACCAGCAGGTTCCAATTTCTCCACATCCTTGCCAACACTTGTTATTGTCCATCGTTTTTATTATAGCCATCCTAGAGTTATGAAGTGGTATCTCACTGTGGTTCAATTTGCATTTCCCTAATGACTAATGACGTTGTGCATTTTTTTTCCTGTGCTTACGAGCCATCTGTATATCCGTTTTAGAGCAATGTCTAGTCAGATCATTGGCCCACTTAACTAGGTTGTCTTGTTAGTGTTATCAGTTTCTTTACATATTTTTTATATAATTCCTTATCAAGATATGTGATTTGCAAACATTTTCTCCTATTCTGTAGGTCATCTTTGGTATTGTTTTAAAAATTCCCCCAGTTGATTCTAATACTCCGTCAGGGTTGAAAACCACTATAGCGTAACAGATTTCACAAGCTAACAGCATATTAGAATCACCTCTAAAAACCATTGATTCCCAGGCCAGTTAAATCAGAATCTCTGGGTGTAGGACCCAGATATCAGTGCTCTTAAAGCTTCTCAGGAGATTCTAATTTGCAGTCAAGTTTGAGAACCAGTGGCTTAACAGTTGAAACTGATTTCTTATCCTCAATTCCTAGGCCTCCACAGGTTTTTCCAACCTCATTTCCTCAAAGCCCTCCCAGCTAGCCAGGTTATTTAAGGCAGCCTCCCAGGGCCACGCTGTGAGTGTGCCTCTCGCTGTCCTTGGCTCACTGACTCCATGGCCTGCAGCGTCTCTCCCTTCGCCTGTCTCAGAGCGCTTTCTCTCTGTATCACTCATCTGCTGTTGGTTGGGGGTCTACATTTTGAGCATTTCTTGTTTCATAGGCTTCAATTTGTTTAGCTTTTGATTTGTGTGCATTTCCTCTGCAGCCCTAGTTTCCAAGTCTCTTCTGAGCAAGGATGATGTGTTCTGCTTCTTTGTGTAATACTGTGTGAACAAAAGGATCTCACCTAATGATCAGTAAGTGAAAGATGGTAATCTGAGTGTATCATTTTTGGCAGCAGCTAGCTCTGCCTACCAGCTCCTTAAGTCTTGGTTTAAAATTCAGATCTCCACAACTTCAGCTTCATTTATTATTCAACAGATAATCTCTAAAAGCACTGAAAAGAAAACATGTAAAAAATCAAAAAGCTGAGCCTGTCTTGATAGGGAAATCCAACTCATTTTTTGGTTTGTTTTGTTTTTCTTGGCCTTTTTCTTTGTTTACTTAGAATCACTGGGCCGGCTCTGATTGGAAGAACCAACCCCAGCAAGAAAGGCCAGCACCCCTCCTCCTTTTCATGTTAGGTACCTGTACTTCTGCTTACTGAGCCATCCAGGAAGGGTGTTCCTGCTACTAATTACTTGAGTTCTGTTCTCATGGGCATTCACATTTTTTCTGATCCTCCTTTGAGAGCTGATATAAGAGAAAAAAAGTTGAGAATAGGATTTCTTTGTAGGGATTAAAAAAGAGGGAAGGGGGAAGCACGGGCAAGGAAACTGAATAAGGCTGGAGAGAAATCCTGCAGGGTCCCCCAGCTTGGCTTCTGGCTCCCAGCACCCACAGCGACATGGAGAGGGAGGAAGGTGGAAGAGTTCAAGCATCTATACTCCAGTAATTTCCTCAGGACATCTTGTATAACTTGGGGTGTGACACCTTCCCAAAAAAAGCACATAGGAGAGATTGATTTTCCAAAGATGAGCAGGGCTCAATTTCTACCCCCGGGCAACTCACAACCTGGTGAAGAAAGATACATAAACAGACAGCTACTTTAGAAAGAATGGTACACTGATCTACATGTGTTTCTGGGGGCAGGTGGAAAGCCAGCTGAGGAGTTCTGGAGGAGGTGACTGCTGACCTGAGTCTTATAAGGACTATGTGTATATTGACTCAGCAAGTTTTTATTCAGGAAAAGTTATCCTAGCTAATATGAGTCTTTGTGTTTGAGGGCACAGTGATCTAGGAGGATTTTTTGGGGGGTAGGGGAAAGGTAGGGGACTGTGGGGAAGATAAAACAAAGAGAAAAAAAAGAATAGTCTAGGCAGAGCAGATGAGGAGGGAAGAAAGAGTTTGGCATGTGCAGGGAATTGAAACTACTTCAATTTGCTGGACCTGAGTTGTAAAAGGTAGGATTGGCAAAGCAAGCATGGTTCATAGCTTGGGCTCCATCCCGCAGGTAATGATGGCCTCCTGAAGGACTTCAAGCAAGAATGTAGAAGAGAAATCTGAAGGGCATAAGAGTGAAACATGGAGACCAGCTAGGAGGCAATGGCAGTAGTCTAGGCAAGAGGTGATGAGGGACTGAACTACGGCTAGAATGAAGTGGGTGAAATATTCACAGGGTGCAGTGGGCCAGACTCAGCACTGGCTTAGGTGTGGTGCGTGAGGGAGCTAAAGATGCTGTCCTCAGCCACGCAGACCAACCAGTAAGTAGCCCTGTTTGCCTCTTGCCTACGTCTTGTCTTTGTTCATTGCGTGACCAAAACAGACAGCTCAGAAACCGAGGTGAAGTTTGGACACGTGGGCTGTGACAAGGACATTCTTCCAGCCTCAGGGATCACTGCAAAGAAAATGAGGAAGTACCTCGAAGGCTCCTGGTCGCTGACTCCTGGAGCTTAGTCAGCCTTTGCTCTTTTCCAGAAGGGAGAAACAGTGGTCTTCCTCCCCTGAAATGATTTTCCTTCACAATGCGTAATATAATGAGAAAAGTGGGAGATGGGTTTTCCTTCTGTTCCTCATGGGGCCTCCGGATTCAAGCCTTAGTTTTTTTAAAACTGGTCAGGTTTTTCCTGAG